ATGAAAGCATCTGGTTCTCATGGTGCAGTTGGGCATACAATTGGGGTTCCTGGTGTTGGCTTCTGCGTGTACTACTGCCCTCTCATTAACGGAAGGTGAGATTTGTGATAGTGTCACCATCTAGTGGCTGGCCCCCATAAAGGACAAGAAGACAGTGCCTTTGCTTTTCAGTTGGGGAAAAAGGGCTACTATGCACCTAGTAGCTAGTGTGTGCCTGGATGAAATGACTTGGTAATTACAAGTCTTTTCACCATGTTGTTTCCTGGCAAATGCTTGTCTTGATCTCACATGTCCACTTCCCTCACATCGGTCATTGCCTGTTTTGTCTACTGCTTGCCTCATGAAAAGAATGCCTTCTGCTATCTCAGCTGTAAAGCCAGTGTCCTCTTCTGCTTCATATCTTACCTTTAGGCCTTTTACCTTTTCCTTGAGAAAATGACCACAGAGTAAGGGATAAAGTTAGAGAGTAGTTGAGTTAGATAAGTGTGCATTTGTGCAAATAAAAGTGCGTATAGGGCCTTTCTCTCCTATGCCCATTCTGATTTTTTGCCTTTATAAGACCTGATGCAGTGACATTTGGAAAAGATGTAAGTGATTTTTGGGTGTATTTGTGTGTATACATGCACATGCAGACAGTTTGTACCACCCTAGAGATGCCAGTGAAACACAAACCATTAGCTGCTTGCATTATACTAGTCCTGTGGCAAATCTGAGCCATCTCTGTTTTCCTAAGCATTAAGCTAGATTACATTAGGAAAAAAAAAAAGGCAAGGAGGGAAGGGAAAAGACATAAATACATTAATCATTTGTGATACATTGTTAGATGTATTTCTTGAATCCTCAAACACAGCAGGTTGTTATTTTCTTATTTTTTTTTTTAGAATATCAATTAAATATCCGGTTTGCTTTCTCTCTGTTCTTTCCCTCAGGTTTTTAATCATGTCAAATGTTGAGAAGCAGCGCATATGTTTTCTCCTCTTTGAATCATAGTATGGCTGCCATGCTTATCTCATCAAGATTTATATCCTCATCTAATTTAACTTTTCATAAATAATTACAAACCACTCATGAGACCTTGCCAACTGCTCCAGTCCCACAAAGTGACCCGACCTGGAACCCCAAAGTACTGAGAAACATTCATCTCGGAGTATTTTCATAGGCAGTACTTCAAAGGAATTGTGGTTTAAAAATATGCAGCTATTTTGGTGACCACTTGTGTGGGATAAAGTTTCCCATCAGTAATAGCAGGACTGTAAAAGAGCTTCAGGGAGAAGGAAGGACTTCAGGGGAGCAGTTAGAGCACCTTTTGCCTCATTCTGCTCAAGCAGTAAGAGTCCCCAGAAGTAAACAGTTTACTTTGTTAACATACCACGGACTGAATTTGCAGCAGAAATACTGTCAATTTCTGATAATTTGCAGAGGGTGAAAAATTCCCCTGGCAAGTATGCATAGTCCCCGCTCAGTAAGGAGCAATATTCTTTATCTTCTGACCAGGTGTGAAGAGTAGTCCAGCAGTGTAACTTGTGAGCGGCAGTTTGAAGGAGCAAAGATAGGAACTGGGAAACATGTGGTTGCAGATGTGCCACTTAGAGCTCTGTTCTGGGTAGATTTACAAGTGGCTTTCATGTGTGGAGGCTTAGGGTGATGAAGCTGGACATGCAAGAGCAACCTCTGAGCAGTCCTGTCCATCCAGCATTTCTCTCCAGTTACCCAGATGCATCTAATCCTCAGGGGGTGTCAGCCTCACAAAATACAGGGGGTAGACTTAAGTTGGAGTATCCTCTGCTCCTTAGCTAACAGCTTGACTTTTCCTTTAATATGGGAAGAAAGAGGTAGGGTGGGTTCTTTGATCATTCCTAGCTTTTTGGTAAAGGAAGGAACTTACCTAGAAAAGTTACAATTTGGTTGATAAAGGCAACTTCTCTGAGATACAGTGGGCTTGACCCATTTACAAAAGGCTTGAAGTGACGGCCCACGCTAAGGTTTTTCATCGCTTTTACTAGGTGAATTTGCTAGGATGGTGGTTGTTCTCTAACTTTACTGGAGAGCAATAATATGAAAATACAGGTCCTTCCACTTGCTTGGAAGGGTAGCATTAGTTGAAATTGTGATGCTGTTAACGTGCTAGTGTAGATGCGCATTTTGAATCTTTGGTCCTTTGGCGAAGCTGTGGATTAGTCCATAAATCAAAGCTGGTTTCTTTCTGAAGTGGCTGTGCTACTCTAACTAGAAGATAAAGAGCTGCCAAGCTAGCAGTGAAGTATGTGAAGAAAATGGGGGTTTAGATATTTTGTCAGCAATTGGGAATGTGCCTGTCATCTTTTATGCTAACTATGCTCTGGTTTGGAAACCCTAGCATTTTGCAATATTGCCTTTTAGTATATTTCCTATCATTGTCAGTAAGATACAGGATTTCATTGTTGATTTCAGATGTGTTGGGCAAACACCAGGTTTTTCAATTTCAGTGTATCAGATATGCAATAGATGAAGATCAGACTTTTGAACACCCTTTGCTATAGACTCCAGCATTAGTGAAGTGCCCTGTAATTCACAAAGCCTTGTGAAACACAAAAGAAATGGTGTTCTTTCTCATTGACCCTTAGGCAGTCTGGTTTTTGTAGCTTCTTTGGTGGTTGTGGTGGTTGGGGGCAACAAATGGAAGAACCTAGTTCTTTAAAGGTATTTGCAGTCCTCAAGGACATGCTTCAATATAGCTACTAAATTTTGAAGAAGAGAGTAAATTGAAGTATGAACAACTTGTTAAATAGAAGAATCAATAAAATTGTACTGACTTTTACTGCCATTGGATAATAGAAGTTTAAAAAAAAATTAAGAATGAAGTTTTACACTCAATGAATGAAGGTTTTGTTGGTCCTTTGAATCAAAGCCAGCAGGACTGTCTTACCTAGTTTAAAATTTATTTGACAAGTCTGGCTGAAGCATGGGATATAAATCAGAGCAGAGTGAGTTTGTCTTCATTTCACACCATCCTTATGGAACAAGTTCCAGGAGCTGGTGTGTGTATAACCAGACCTATGTCTTCCTTTAGATCTGTTCTTCAGATTATTCAGAAAGCTGGGACAAGCTTTTTGCCTTATTAATTTGGTCTAGATAGTGAACAAAAACTTAGCCTCCTCTTTTTCCCATTTCTTCCAGTGGGCTTCTACAGCTGTTTGAAATCTAAATGAGCTAAGAAGCAACAAGATGCTAGTTTAATATCCTATATAGCAAGCAAAATGGATCTCTGAACTTTGTTGCTGCTTTTCGATAGTGCTGTAATGTAAATAATAACTCAGGTTTTCCTGCTTGCGAAGGAGTACCTCCACCTCTTTGTCTCCCTTCCATGATTTCCTGCTTTTTAATGAATTGTTTTCTGTGATGCATTCGTATGACACATTCAGCAAAACACAGACGACATGCTGCAAAAGATTGCTGTGAAAGCAGTACCTCTGTCCTGTGCAGGGAGTTACGATCAAGACCTTCATAGGTTCAGAGGAAATTATGTATGTGGTCCGTTTTAGTTGCTGGATTTCAGTAGTCTGGACCATTGGGCCATATATTCAGCAGAGGTGTGTTGTTTGCAATGGTGTACCGATACAAGCTGTATGCAAAGTAGCTGATATCTCTTCTTCCACAAAAAAGGGGGTTCTGGGGGATTTATGTATAACTCTACATTGTCAGTTGTGTTATGAGTATGTTGCATTCTTTGGATTATTTTACTGGAATAATTTTCATAGCCCTTGTAATGAGAAGCTTGATGAATAAGATTGATGAATAAGATTTTAGGTAAGATTTGCATGGTTATATTGTAGTTTTGATGTTTCTTTTCAATGATGAAATTTTGAGTTCCCTGGTTTATTTTTTTGTCCTGTTGTTTGTACGAGTGGCATACAGGGTTTTCTAACAGTGATCCTTATTCTTCCCAGGATTGGTCATCTCCAATCTCATTTTCTGCAGCCCTTGTAAAAATTAAGCCACTTCTGGTGCTTGTATAATGTGATATGATTGTTCTAGGCGAGTGGACTTAAGCTGAATAATGCTTGCCCAGTCACTAAGCTTTGCTCCTCTACTAAGATGATGAGCAGGTGATTGCAGAACTTTTTCGATGGAACAGTAGGGGTTTCTGTGGAATGCCTCAAAAATAGAGGAGCCTGAGAACTCTTCATTAAGCATTGACTGTAAACTACCTGCTAGATCCATCTGAGGGACCTAAAAATCCTTCTCTATGATGGCTTGGGCTCAGTTGGCATTGCTGTGGTACAATGGAGGTATCTGTGTCAGGCTGGATGCTGTGTACATGCATGCACATACAATGCCCCTTAGTATCCACGAAGAAATGAAATGCAGTGTATGTAAGGTCTGATGGGTCAGCTTTAGTTTGTCTTCCAGGTGGCTTCTGGCTGGCCTGGCAGCTTTCACTGTGGACTTGATGGCTGCCGAACAATCTGTTTTTGCACAGTAGCCATTTGTTGGAGGGAGCCATTTGTTGGGAGTTTTGTGGTATCCGAAAGGTGTCAGCGGTAGTGAAATCCCCAGATATGGGATATTCCAGTGTGTTGTACTGTATTGTTGTGGTTATTGGCAAACGGAAGCTGCACTGGGCACCCAAAGAACAATTGTTGAACATCATTCCGTATGTTGAGAGTTAAGACATTAAATATGAACTTCGTGCCAGTGGCTTGGTGCAAAGATTTTAACCTGTCTTGGTCCTGGCTATAGTCTGCTTTGCAGATTTCAGTGAGATTTCAACATAAATAATGCTTGTTCTTATTCTTCACACAGAACTGGATTTCCTCTAAATAAATACTTGCTTTGGCATCCCATTTTACATGCCTTTGTTTTGTGTGAGATTTAGAATAAATTGAGAGGAAGGTTGGCCCGGAGTTTTGTTTTATTTTACAGAATAATTTATCTAAGTGGCTTTTTTGAAGTGGAGGGTCTAGCCTAAATGTTGTGCAAAGTTGTTTATAATTTGTTGTATTTTTCCTCTCTTATGACAGTGATCCGAGCTAAAGTTGTGGGGAAGAAGCTCATGAAAGATGGACCATTTGGAACGATGCGATACACAGTCAAGCAGATGAAGGTATGTTTGGAGGCACTTCACATAGGCTTGTAGATATGATAATGATTCTAATTAACATGTAATAATGAACAGAGTTTGCATACTTAAAATAACAGCATGTCAACTTTTCATATTGGTCAGCCAGAATGGAAGGTAACCAGCAATTGGTAGAAATTTGCCTGCAGAGGGGAAGGGAGCAGTAAGAGGTCATTCCTGACATATGATGCTGAATACCTGAATTCTTGCTTTATTTTTTAAATTTCTGGTAGTAAAAGATGCCAGATGGGCTTCTCTAGGTACTGGAGTCCTGTTTGTGTTCAACATACACAGTATTAGACTGTGGAAATGCAAGCTTTTCCATGCAACACTTTCATTAAATTCAAGATGTGGTGGTAGGGGGTCTGCCAGCCTTGGGAGAATGGTCTTTCATCTTTTCTTTACTTGTATTCTTTGTGACCACCAGTTAGAATGATGGCATTTTTTTCCATGTACGGAACAAGTGAAACTCGTATAGTGAAGTCTTTATATAAAGCTAAACCAAACACTGTAGCTTCCAAATATCATCAGCTCAGAAGAGCTGTAAAGTATTGACTCAGAAATGAAAAGATGTTGATCTCCTGTGCCAGTTTCTTGGTTTCTCTAGTTCCTCTCTTCAGAGCTCTAATTCTTTGCTGCACAAACTGCACTCAACGTGCTGCTGTGGACTTAGGTTTTTTTCTTAAACTGACCCCTTGTTATGTAATGCTAAAAATCAGCCCTAGATTGTTTTTCTTGGCTATGCCATTCTAGTCATAAGACTGGTTTATGTCTTTAAAAAAAAAAAAGAAAAAAGAAAGGGAATGGAAAAGCTTGGCAGAGACTGCAGAAATCTGAAACATATTAGACAAAGTAAAGGTTCAGAAAAAACCAGTCACTTGCCTGCCTCATAACAGTAACTCTCTTTATAAGGCAGTTTATAGCTAAGCACGAAAGCTGGGAGGAGGAGACGCAAAGCCTGTTTCATAAGCTGTCGCAAAACCGCACACGTAGCCAAATCTGGTCCTGGCATGGCTCTTCCACTAGAGTGGAATGCTAGCACTTTGAATAAGAGAGCATGAGGTGCTGGGTTTACTAATTTCCTTAATCTTAAAAATTTCTTTTTAAGATTCAAAAGGAAATATATATTTGTTGGTTAACTTGTATTTGTAAAGAAGACAACTGGTTATGTTGGCAACAGTGAGACAATGCTACCGCTCCTTTTTTTGTTTGTTTTTTTGATGGTTGTCCCTGGCCTCACCAGGCTTGCAGCACTCAGTGCTGTTCTTGTCCAGTTTTGTCACTCTCCAGCTCAGCAAATGTACACCATTTCACAAAACTACTCAACATCCACATGCTGCAGTGGCTTCATCAACTTTTCTTTTTCTGTTTTCATCCTGGTCTGTCCAGGACCTCTACTTTCCCTCCTACTCAGTTCCAAGAGTTTGGCGCTTCCTAACATATGACCATGAACAGGGTCCAGTGGTGATCCAGAATAACAGTAGTCCCCAAAATGAACTACTACTTTTTACCAACCATAACACTAGCCTCTCTCGTAACTAATGATGCAGCCTGTCCCATTGTCAGCCAGTGAGCTGCAGTGTCAGAGGTCTCTGGAACAGCATTAAGCATTCCTCTTCTGACCTAGAAGCCTGCAGCAGTGTCCCTGCTATGAATAGAAAAGGCTTCTCTGTGTCTGCTTGCATGGGGAGGAGCACAAGCCCAGGCCAGGTGAGCACGTTGAGTGGAGCAGCAGCCACTCTATTGTCAATAGCCACCATTGTGTCAATCTTTAAATAAGATGCCTGAGCCTGTCCTGGCTGTTTTCATTGGGTTATTCTGCAGCACAGGGCCAGGGTGTTTACAGCAGATACTGCAGTAATCTGCAATGTCCTCGTGCTGAGACCACAAAAGAACAATTGCCTTTTTGCAGGAGCAGCTCCACAGTGTTTTGTTAGGAAGCTATGTGTCCAACAAAAGCAAGAGTGATTTTAAAGAGGAAATTGTGTGTTGGTCAAACTGCCTCTGCCTGCTACATAGATGGTGGGCTGGCGAGCTGTTGCATTGCACGTTTAACTGCGACTTTTAGCAGGAAGGAACCTGAAGCAGTCAAAGTGCTCAGTAGAACTGGAATGTCCAGAGCACATAGTTCTTGATAAGCAAACAAAGTGTCTTCTTTGAAACCCTGCTGTCTTTCTGCTGAGCTTAGAGACTTCAGTATAAAGAGGGATTCAGCTCCATACAGTGGGGGAGCTCAGAATGACACAGCAAATCTCTCCCTTGCTCGCCCCAATGAAAGCTGACTGTCCTCCTGCTGAAAAGAAAACTAAGGAGGCCTATGGCTCTGCACAGCTGCATGGGAACAAGTCTGAAGATAAAACTAACATGTCAGTGTTTTCTGGCCACCTATAAACCCATCTGCACCTGCTGATGAAAAATAAACAAGCATTTAGTCTACCAGTGTGTACTGAATTGCCTGTGAAAAGCATTGAGAGCCTTAAAAGGCAACAAACAATCTTTGTATTTTTTCATGGGTTACTTGGAGTTTGCTGTGGCTGATTCTTGCTCTCACTAACACTCCTGAACTCGTTGCTGAATTTCACAACTAAACGAGCTTGGGGCCTGGACCGGAGCACAAGGTCAGCACACAGGCACAGAATAGTGCCAGGCTTTCTAGCGTTCAAGTTTGTTGTCTGAAAAGGCCTTGTGCTTTTTCAAGCAACCTCTGCCTCCCCCAATATTTCAAGATCACATGTCAGAAATCGGCACAGGACTGATCTAACCCCCGCATGTTCTGTGATGCTGCTGTGCATTCTGAGAAGGGCCCAAACCTATTTCAGGAAACTGCAAAGGAAACAGGGAGATAAGATATTTCTACTCCATGTGCACAAACAGTCCTGGTTGACCATGGCAGCACTCTGCACAGGCTGCCAGAAGCAAGGAGGCTTTCCTTGGTTTGTTGCTAATCTGTAAAATGAGTCTAAGGGGTGAAACGTGATAGTCCCAAGAGGAAAGAAGTGGGGTGGGATTAATTTAGTTTAATTTTAGACAGACTAAAATGAGGTGTTGAGTCTTTCAGGCTCTCTTGATTGTCAATGGAGAGGGACAGGAACCAGTGAATTGTAGTTCAGCCCACTAGCTGTAGACAGATACTTTAGGATGGGCTGAGTTGTGCTGGAGGTGCCCGTTCTTGGCGTTTGACTAGAGAGGATGCCTAATTCATATGAAGCGCCTAAATTTTAGGCAGCTGAGGGTTAGGCAAGATAACTCCAAGCCTTGGTATCTAGTGTGACCTCACATGGGAGGGACAGAGGGAGGAACATCGTATCACAGGGTGAAGTTAATCATGCGGCAGGAACCACCACAGGATTTGCATGTGCATTTCTGAGGCAGTATGGGGGCTGCTAAGGCGAATGCTGACACAGCTGGAAATAGAGTAGCACTAGCAGACACCACCATGTGATGCTTGCTAATACTTTGTTCCCTGTCATTATGCTTCCGAAAATACACATTTGTGGTGACAGGAGGACTCTGAGGGTAGCAGTTAGGAGAGAGGCTAGCTTTATGGTTGGTTTTCTTCTGACTGGCCTAATAGCACTTCCAGGATATTTTGTGTATCCAAAAATAATGCTTAAGGCATTGTTTTATTTGTTTTGAAAGAAGGCATTTGTATAAGATTCCCTGTTGCCAAATTTTCTTTTTCCTCCCCTGAGAACCAAGGTCATGGTGAATTTTCGTTAGTCATCAGAGGATGAGGCAGGCCCTGTCTGCCCCCAGCACTGGGTCAATTAGCGTGACAGTTGCTAGCATTGATGAGGGTCACTGAGGGGTGAGCTGAAGCACTTTTTGAGAGGCAGAGCGTGCTTCCTTCAGCAACCCTGACAGTGGTGTCCCTGATGGTAATGTGAACAGGGAATTAGGTCCAGGAGTTTAAAACCAAACCGCAGATCAGCATCACTAGTTACTTCATAGGCAGTCATGTTGAGCTTGATGGTGCAGAAGGTGCGAGGAGTGACGACTGTAAGGGTCCTGTAGGAAGGGCCTGAGGAGCTTCTCAGAGGAATGATTAATCTGGCTTGTAGCCCTTTCTGCAAGGGGCTCGAAGAGAGAATGAGCTCAAAGCATGCCTGTGCACGTGTAGACTTTATAGCCCAACACTACTTGGAGCCTACCACTCTGGGTGACAGATCACTTGTACTGCACATGCACAGCATACAGCTCTCTGGAGTGTAGATAACGCACTGCCTGGAGAGACTGGGCAGCCTCAGCTCTTATCTTAGCTAGTCTTATCTGCTTAGATAGTGTTATCATAGCTTGTGGTGTGACACCCTCTAAAATGGGGTCTGAACACATAATCTTTATTCTATGTGCCGTTCCTCACAGTATCCTTGGGAAGCAAGGCAGAGCTGTTCTACAGATGAGGAACAAAAGTGTACCGAGGGCTAAATAACACATCCAAGGACAGACAGGATGCTTGTGCCAGAACCTAGATCTCCAGCTATCTTGAGCGTAATTGGAAAATCTGAGTAGGTCATCCCATACCAAGAAAATTGCAGGGATAAAGTACAGATTAGGCAAGATTCAGTTCTTCCATATTCATTGAAAGACTTTGCTCACTTACAGACACAATGGTGTATTCCAAACATGATCTGTGAGCTTTTGTTGATACAGTATGATTAATTTAAAAAAATGCTTTCCTTGCATATTTGCTGGGTGTAGAAGAAAGGCTGGAAAATGCAAACCCTTTTGCATGTCTTTTACTGTGCACAGCAGTGCTGTTAACTGAGTTGTGATACTGGTGTAAGAATATGCTGATTGGGGTAATATAACTAAGGAGAAAAAAAAAAACGGCAGACATTCCGTGGATGCCCAGAAGATAGTTTGACCTCTCAGCATAGCAGAATTAAAAGTAGTTATTTATATTTTTATATGCAGCATCTGGACCTAGCATAAAATCCATTAAATCAACAGACATTCTTTCAGAAACAAAAAGATTTGTTGTTTTTAAAGGAGGTGGGGGAATAGTGAAATGCCCTGGGATAATAGGGGACTTCAAGAAATAGAATACAGCCTGGAGGAGAATACCACAGCTTAGGTGACACAGCAGGAAGGTTCTATAGCTCTGGGATTGTTTGGGATTTTTCTTCCTCTGTTGCCTCACTTTAATATTTACAGTTAATCTGAACGTGATTGTGCTCTCTATCAGTAAAGCTGACAGAAAAAAGGATATGCTATGAAACTGTGATTCTCTCTGACTCTTACTGTTTTCCTTTAACTTTTAAACATTGGCCATTCATACAGTTGGTGGAGGAAAAAGAGAGACTGAGTGCTTAGAAAAAATAACCAAATTTTAAAGATGAAATTTTTGGGAAAGTAATCCTCAATGTTTCAAAAATAGGATATGTTTTATTGTGTCCAGTGTACACATGCAGTGGTTGTTTCATTGCTATGGGCGGACTTCACTATGCTACTAACAGGTGGGCATGAGTTTCCCTAAATTGTAGCATAAGGTCAGGTCAGATAGGGACACATGCTAATTTCTGACTGAATCCAACTGCCAGTATATCTTTGGGTTCATATTTCAGTTAAACTGAACTGTAAGAAAGATTATGAAAAAGGAGAAGGAGTGTAGAGGAATTATGTATACATGATATTTTCTTTATGGCGCCCATCAGTACTGGGCTAATTTTAGGAGATGGAGCAGAATTCTATTTCTGCATCCATTTAGTTAGAGAAACATTAAATCCTTGCTGATGTCAGCAGGGGTTGTGTATGCTAGGTGTTTGAGAAGGAGGTGTCTGGCTTGATGACTTAGATCAAGCGCCAAAGGTTTGAAAGTCTTACAGCAGCAACACTGGAAAATAGGGTCATTGTTTAAAAGAAAAACCCCTTAGTTCAGAAGAAATTGTTTAAATCACATGAAGGAGAAAGATTCCAAACTTGAACTAATTTAATTTCTCCCTAATTATGAGCTATATATGGGAAAAAATTGTTCAGGATGTTGGCAGAGCTTGCAGTGTTGGCGCTTTGCTCACTCAGTGCCACTGGAACTAATGCGACTGGGGAAAAGTGGTCCCTGTGCTGAATTGCAATGGCTTGTTAGCAGGTACGTGTTCTGCTTTACCAGCAGATCTGGTGGGGAGACTTCCATCAGAGTCCAGATAGTGCCATTAGTCCTTCACCCTTGTAAACACTAAAAGTTCACTGCTTGCCACCACAGTCTGGGAATGTAGGTTGTAAAGAATCAAAGTGAAAAGTTGTCATCTTAAGATGACGTAAAGCATTTTTATTCTTTCTTTAGATGTACAGGGGCTTCCAGATAATGCCACATGTTCAGTACATCTACACAGAAGCCTCTGAGAGTCTTTGTGGAGTCAAGCTGGAGGTCAACAAGTACCAATATCTGATTACAGGTAAGGACAGTGTACTTCTTCATAATCAAAACATCTTCTGTTCTATACATACACCTGCTAAGGACATGGGCGGGTGTGTAGACAGCTCTATACGCAGCTTCCCAGGTGTTAAGACTCCTTAATGTTGAGAGTCTTTTCACTTTCCAGATTTCCTTCTCTTTCCTAAAGTATCTCTTACACCCAGCGATGTTGTGACAAATATGCTGTATAACAGTCCACAGCTGTCAATTCATACCTGAGCTGGCATGTCTGTCACAGGGAACTGGTTGCTACTCAGCTGCGCCAGAAATGGAAGATACCTTTTGGAATGAGCAGGAGGAATGCAGGCTGCTGAGATGGGGGATGCAAGGAGACAGAGGTGTGACAGTTGCCAAGTCTTCTTTCTAGTGAAGGTGTCAATTCACTTTGCTCTGTTGTTGAGAGGAGCTTGACAGCGTTAGTCACCTGCATGTTGTTGCTGGTGCTTACAGCTGGCACAACACTCCTAACTTGCAGAAGTGCTATAATCTTGCTGGCCAGAGATTCCTGAACCAGTTAATAAAAAGAAAGCAGTTGCTGAGCAGTGACTGAAGCCAAACATATTGAGAGCATTAGCGATCTCAGGAAACGAGAAAAGTGCTCGAGCTGAGAAGTGCTAACTTGTGACTATGTCTCTGTTTTCAAGGCCGCGTGTATGAAGGGAAGGTTTACACTGGCCTGTGCAACTGGTATGAGAAATGGGACCGGCTGACTCTGTCCCAGCGTAAAGGACTGAATCATCGTTATCATCTGGGCTGTGGATGCAAGGTATGTGTGTCTCTAATTAGGTGGCATTAAGACATTCAAACCCTAGAATTCAGTTTCCCCTGGCTGGTAATATCAATGATGCTGGTGAACAGTCAGGAAGAGAAAAGGAGGACAACAATTTTTACAGGGAAAAAGTAAAGCTCAGCTTTAGTGTTGAGACCAGAGAAGAGACAATCACATAAAAATGCAGAGTCTATGCCTTTTTAATGCCCTGTTGAAGTTAATTGGGGTTGGGGAAGGCTCTCAGAATCCATGCAGAATCATTTACAGAGAATGAAATCAGGTACCACAGGCTTGGCAAGATATGTCCAGCTTTTTTCCTGTGTAAACATTTAGAGTGCTTAAAACCTCACAGCCTGGCACTGGCACTAAGATTTTTTGCTCATGGCCCCAGGCCTGCAAAAACATAGACACAAGCTCAACTTTTCTGTACCTGAAAAGCCCTTTTGACTCTGGAATTACCTGTGTATGTAAAGCTAAGCACATGCTTACATGCTTACTGAACTGAGGCTGAATTTTGGGTTAGTAAGCAAGGTTTGAGGGAGTGGAATTTTGAATCCCTTGTCTCTGGTAAAAAGGCATTTTATATAGTGTTGTTTTTCCATGTAGCCTTACCTGATTGCTCTTTACAATTGCAGATCAGGCCCTGCTACTATTTGCCCTGCTTTGCCACCTCCAAGAATGAGTGTATTTGGACAGATATGCTCTCCAACTTCGGCCACTCAGGATACCAAGCGAAGCACTATGCCTGCATCCAGAGGGTGGAAGGTTACTGCAGCTGGTATAGAGGATGGGCACCTCCAGACAAAACGATAATCAATGCCACAGATCCCTGAGCACACTATCCCTTCCTTATCTCCCCTCTCCCTTACTTGTGGCTGATCTTCCTTTGGACACTAACTCTTACCAGATCATGATGATGACAATGAAATTAGTGCCTGTTTTCATGCAAATTTTAGCACTTCGAACACTTAAAAAAGAAAAGGAAAAAAAAAAAAAGGAAAGAAAAGAAAAAAAGTCTGTGCTACCTTACTGAATTTGTAATCACCTTTTCCATTTTTTGATACCACTCATTTTGATCAGACGACATTTGGGAGCTTACTTTTGCACACCAGAGGGAAAAATGGGAGGGAAAAAAAATAAAAGAAAAAAAAAAGAAAAAAGATGGAGCTCTTGCTCTCTTACATGTATCATTAGCTGTAGCGATATAATCTCTATTTTTTTAGGAAAACAAAAATCTAAAAACTATGCCAATTAGGCACTGTATTCTTCTGTGCGCTGGCTTCCCGTCACCCCTCCTCATGCACTAAGTGCTGAAAATACATTGACAAATCTATTTGAAGGAAAACAGGTTTCATTAATCAGATTGGCGAATGAAACAAACTGAAAAGAAACCCAGCCTAAACTCTGGAAAAAATGACGTCCGAAAGAAATCCTCCTCTATGGGAGAGATTGGCAATGTGATTGACTCCAGCAGTGGGAGAATTCACCTGGTGTGTCTGACCACATCATCTGGTAAAAGCATTGTTGACTGATTGTCCTAGCTAATTCAGTCACAGTGTGAATGCAACAGCACATTTGAAGTTCTGGCTTTCCCCAGAACAAAAGAGATAGTATTTTGTATTTTTGTTGTTGTTTAAAAAACAAAAGCCCCATCCCCTATGTTCAGGGAGGTAAATCCACCTACAGCAGAGCAGAAGTGCTGTGCCATCCTGTTTTGAGCAGCATTGGCCCCTGAAATTTTTGCAGCTTAGCTTCAACAGCAAAACCAGCTTGTGAACACCTTGAACCAAACAGATGCAAAAATACTAACTGCAAATCAATCACATGGAAGAGGGAAAGGGGAGACTTGCTAGAGCTCTTACTATAAAAAAAGTCTATTGCCAAAATAGTGTTTTGCTGAATTAAGATGTATATACACATAATGACATAAGCTATTTTTGACAGGACGTGGAGTTTTTTTGGTGTTAAAAGAATGGTTTGATTGTGTTTTAAAGACAGAAATATTGACATTCCGAGTCAGTGAGTTGTTTTTAAGATATTGAAGCTCCAGTGTATCTGCAGTAGTGGCTACAGTCATTGTTTCCTCTGTACCTCCTTGCACCACGGTTCCTCCCCTGCAGCTACACTAGCTGCATTTGTTTATATAGTAAAAGGAAGTGTGTGGGCGGGCTAGGCAAGGAAAAGTGGTCTCCTAATAAGTGCTGGCTGGGATCATAAAATTTCAGCTGCCCAGAGGATTCCTTCTGTGTCAAGTGCTGTGTTTCCCTCTAGGCACTGTTAAGCGTAGCTCTGTGCATGTGCTCATACCATGTCCTGCAGTGATGTGGGAGGAGGAGCCTTACTGTCTTGTGCTTTGCTGTTGACTGGAGAAGTTTTTTCGTTCTATTTTGTTTTTTATTAAGAAAACTATAATATAATTTTTCTTATCAAATAAAAGTATTTTAAGTTTTAATGATGGTGAAGAAGGGGTGCTGACAAAATGGGTGACTGAGTTTTGGATGGGGAGGGCTTGGGCAGGGAGAAGATTATGCTTAACTTCATTTTTGTATTATTATGGTTATTTATCTTAAGTTTCCATATATCTTCAGTTCATTCCACTTTTAGAAAGCAGAGCTGCCACCAGCAGGAAAAAATGTTGCAGTGATTCCAGCTTGGGGCAATACAGCATTTTACAGTCAGTGACCTCCATTACTGGAGAGTTGTTTGGGACCTCTTTGCCAAACGGAAAGGAAAGGGTGTCTGAGATGGGCCCTGATGCGTTTTTACGTTCCTTGCATGCTACCAGAGCTCTGCCAGACGTACATGCCCCGAAATGCCCCATTTACTAGACGAATTATTGCAGCAAAAAGCGCGTAGCTTCATTTTTAACATGAACTTTAAAGGGCATTTTCAAAGAGTTGATGTAAGAGGTGCCTAGGTCTGCTGTGTATTTTTTTTTTCATCTGCTCTGAGTGTCAACGCAGCACAAAACACATTCGAAGTCTGTTGGATTTTCCTGTGATTCAGGCTTGGAACACTTAAGTCCTCTTCCCTGTGACTACTCCTAAATTATGGGTTGGAGATGAGAGGGAGAGTAGGGTGCTTCACAGCACCCATCATAGGATCGGGTGGTGGGTCAGAACGTTGCCCCTTTGGGCAGAGTATGGGGTTGGGCTTTGGGCACAGTGGAGCAATCTCTGTTTGAGCTGTGCACAGCTGACAAAACCTCCGAGGGTCACTGAGGGCAGAGTGGAGCCGGCCTCGCCACCCTCACTGTTTGCATCGTGTGGAGTCAGCATCGCTGGAAATGGCCCTCCTCAAGCTCAAGGCGACTTTGCAAAGCTGACATCGCTTTGAGCTGCAGCCACTTTTCATGGCTTTGGAAGGCTAAATGAAAATGCCCCTCGATGCAGTGAAGTGTTGGTTTGAATTTTCATTAAACTGCAGCTCTGCATATTTTACCTGTCACTGATTCATTTAGCTAGCTGAGACATCACAGTATTGCACTCAAATTGTTGTGAAAATATTTGCATTCTAATACTATGAGGACTTGTGTCCCTAAGTAGGATATAATGTAGCTATGTGCTTTGTAAACAACAAAACAGCAGATGCATTACCAGAAAATGAAGCATATTCCCATTTTATATTGCAGACGGTAAAATATTTCTGAGATGCAGACAGCTAGACCGGCAGGGGTGGGGGTTTGGTAGCAAATCTTTCCCCTTGCTGTGTAAAGAAACAGTTGTTAAGGCTTTTAAAAATGTGGAGGCAAAAGGAGGGGGAAGAATCCAGTAAAAATACATTTCTTTTGGGAGGCTTCTTAATTTTGTTTCTGTGCATGCTATCAGGGACATATATTTCTTGGGCTAAGCTTTAGCTTGTGCTTGCATTCAGAACCTGACTGAAGGCTCCCTTGAAGTGAGAGGGAGCCATTAAATGGATTGAACAGGCTCTAAATCAGACTCCAAGACTTCTTCCTTCCTATCTGCTCTTCTTTCTTCTGTCTTGCTAAGTCACTTCTGCCTGCCAATGGACAAAACTCTCTCCCTCCTTACAGCAGGCCATTCAATATATGGGAACACCAGGCATGGAGATGTGAGGAGGCAGGTGTGAAATTCTCCCCAAAATGTTAGGCTATGGAGCATACCAGTGGCTTGCAGCAGCACAAATATCTTCCTGTCACCTCTGACATGCTCCTCACTTCACCCTGTAACCTAAGGTCAGAGAACTGTCAATGGCACAGCTCATGTGAGCACGACCTTTGGACATGTACAAGATGAGGGCTCCCCCCCTCCATGCTTTAGATATACCAGCGTTATTAAAAGTACCTTTTAAAATGCATAGCTCATTTCTAGACTGCTGGTCTTTGCTTTCTTATTTATAAATATTTTTCCTTATTTGCTTGAGAGAGTTTTCCCCTTTAGAATTACAGAAAATATGAAAAATACATTGAGAGTTTGGGAAAGATTGGATTAAAATTTCCTTTTCCAAAATGGAGGAGGTAGAGAGCAAGAGGACATCTGTGCATGGAGTACCTTCAATAACGTGCTCTTGTGGGAGGCTTCCCCCTCTCCCGTATGGGACAGAACTGCCATTTTAGGTCTAAATTTCCCATGTTTTGAAGAGTTACATGGCCCTTTAGGTGGGATAATTCTAAAACCTGAATATATCGCTGTATCCCATTCATACTTGGACGGAGTGAAATGCTGTCTCACGGTGATAGGAAACATACTGTTGCGGTTTTTTACAGTAAAGACTGTTTGAAGTAAAGGCCTCCATGGGAACAAGTTCCCATTCCTTCAGAAGTCTCTGAAAGTATATCTCACTTAAAATGTATTTTATAGCTTAGAAGGGCAGAACAAAATTGAGGGAACTGCAAAAATTTTTTGTCGTCTTTTAGAATAAGTGGCTTTTGGGGCTACCAGTCTTGAGAAAAATCTTAAAAGTCCACTAAACGTGTGCTGCTGCTTTGCCTGTACTGGCTTTTTCTCTCTGACACTGTCTTTCCTTCATAGAGCCACTCTGCTGTTCCTGATAGTCATGGAAACTTGGGGAGGGAAGCAAACCCATGTGAAAAATCTTGTCCAGAAGGAATGTATTTGTTGCTAAATTTTCTAGCACTGTTTACAGTTTTCCTCCATGTTATTTATAAATTTTATATTCAGTGAATGTATATTGTCTTTTAAGGTAATGTTGCATAATGTTCACTTTTTATAGTGTCCTTTTATTCTAAACAGTAAAGTGGTTTTATTTCTATCACAGACATTCTGTCTCTGCTTCACTTATATTACTTTCTGTCCACTTCAAATGTACACAAATGGATTTGCAAGTGGATTTATTCATTTCCTTCCCTTTCTTGATACCATTTTATTGGGCCCAAAGCAGATATTCCACCTCTGGCAATTCTTGTGCTTTGGCAAAGATCCCTCCAGCAGTCCCTCCCTTTTTTTAAGAGATTGCTTTCTCTAAGATTTGTTATTGGGGTCATAAGCCCAGGAGAGGTGAAAAATCCCTTTTGAAGTTAATGTATCCCAGTTGTTAACTGGCCATAGGGGGTCACTACAGAGCAAGGCAGTCATTATGGCTGTCCTGTAGTACCAGTAGGGCCTTAGAAGAACAGTTCCCAGATTGCTCTTATTTCCAGTAAACTAATCACCAGCGGGAGGGTTGAAAGGTACATGCCCGTGGCAAAGGGAAGAGAGATTCATCTTTCGGATCGTTTCTGCTGTGAAGTGTCAGAGCCTTGTGTCCTCTCTTTAGGCTTACTGTTTAAGGCTGGTTAAAAATGCCTTGTTGTCATGAGAAGGAAGCTTCAGAAAAAGCACTTTCAATTAAATTCAAATGCTTACAAGAATGGGCCTACTGTTAGAAATTTCCTTTATCTCACTTTTTTACTTTAGGAAAATCTCTATTCTCTACACAGATGAAAGAAGGAAACAGATTTTAAATTCTGTTCTATGTTTAATCTAAAGGTTTAGAAAGTAAGCTTTGGAGAGTTTTAGACATAGAAGGATGAGGATCTCTTATGTGAGAACTTCATTGCTTAAAGTGTACCACATTGCAAAGAGGTAAAACCATAACATGAGTTATAAACACTTCCAGGGGGTCAGCCATCAAAGGACCACAGCGTATTTTATGAGTGCTGACTGGTACAGCTTGAAAATGCCTCCAGGAAAGGGAAGAAAAAGAGTGGGAAAGGGGGATCATTATATTCCTATCT